ACGTCGGCGTGATAGTACGCACAGCCAACCTCCTCCGCGATCCACTCACACTGCGCCTTGCTCAGACAGTACACTACCCCCTTCTGCCTTGTCCGCCCCAGCTTTACAGCCCATCGCTTGCATACTACCAACGCCGTGTCCTCCAATGCCTTGCGTTGACACCACGACACAAAGTAGCGCGCGTTCGGTCGTGCTGTGCTTGCCCGGATATACGTTGCGTTGCGCACCAGCATGCTTGCCTCGAGCTCCCCCTCCTGCACCGGCGGCAGCGTTGCCGTTAACAACACAACCGGGCATCCAAGCAGTCGCACGTTCTTTACCTTGAGCAGATTTGACCGCCAGTGTCGCGCTGTAAACAGTAGATGACACTCGTCTAGCACGACTCGCTGCAGTAGCCCCTTGTCCTTCATCAGCCGAGCGTACCCTAAAAAGTTGCCGTTGCTCGTAATGTCGCCTGCTACGTCTGCGCTGACGACCACCACAGACGCTGGATTGTTCTCACCGTGCTTCCACTCCATGCAGTCAATACCGCAGTTGCAGATCCGGCTCACCAAGTCCTCAATCAACGCCCGGTACGGCACAACGACTACCGTCACCCCAGTCTCTTCTATGCATGCCGGCAGCGTAAACAGCAAGCTCTTGCCTCCTCCTGTCGGAAGCACAACAACAAGCGGTGTCGTCTTATCCAGCACTGCGTACAGAGCCTGCTCCTGCTCTATTGAGCGAAACCTGACGTCCTGCTTCCCTAGCACCTGCTGCAGCGCCCGATGCACAGCCGCAGCTCGCGCATCTTCTACGTGAACGGCCTTCGCTTTCGGAAGCATCGGAAGCCCTGAGATGCTCTCTCGCATCGGCCTTTTCCGCGGCAGTCGGCGCTCCTCGGGCGCTTCAGCCTGTCCATCTACACCTAAAAAGCGGTGCCAAGCGGTACTCAGCGCCCGGAACGCATCAATCGACCGCGTGCTTAGATGCTTGACAATATCAATCGACACACTGTAGTTGCCTACACCCATAACCGTCGTTCGCGAGTTCTGCAGCTCAATCAAGTCCTCCTCATCCTCGTCTACCTCCGCTTCATCAATCTCGCCAACCTCGTCTTGATAGCCCTTGCCAAACGACTCCCCTACTTTTGCCCGCCCGATTCCAACAGCTGTGTGACGGTAGCCTAGCGTACTCAGCTCGACGCCAAGTCGCTTACCCGTCTCACGCCGTAGTACCCTCGTGAGTCGATCTGTACCCCATGCGCCTTGCTCATTGCTCCAGATATAGTCGTCTAACCCACCCCCGAGCACAGTTGCTACAAGATACTCTCGAAACGGCTGCAAGTAGCTCAAGTACAACACCATCACCTGCCCTAATCGCGGCGGCAGAAAGCGCGGAACCACCTTCGGCTTGTCCCACTGCGACTGTGACTTGTGATACCGCACGACGGTCATGACAGCACCGTCTACAACAAAGACATTGCGGTCCTGTAGCAGCCCATTGCGGTGCCGCATCGTCACAATCTCAGAGCCTCGAGCCGGCTGTCCCGATTCCATGTGCACACAGCCTAGCAGTAGCGCTAAGAAGCGATCTACCTCCCGTAGATACTCCCGCACCTTGTTGCTTCTCCACCGGCCGTCCGACGTCTGTAGTCGCATGCCGCTCTCTGTGCCCCGCGCCCTTTTCAGCATCCAAGCCAGCCCATCCGACAGACGGTTGCCTGGGGTAGTAACAAACGACCTGCCCCGAGTCGTGAATGTAACGTCGTCTTGAATCTGCGCTAGATCCACCGTAAAACGGTCAGCTATACGATCAACCCAGCACATCTGCCAAAACGTGTCCTCTGCCTCCGCTTCCATGCTCTGCGCCATCGCGCGGAAACGCTCCATCACAATCGGCCGGCCGCTGAGATAAAACACCTTCTTGTCGGGGGACCAGTATGCGTTGCCAGCATTGCCCTCGTTGAGCGCTGCGTGCTTGCCATACGCGAGAAGACTCAGCATAATGCTCATCGGACTATACGAGCCATCCGCTAGATACTGCCTGCGCATAGCCAAGAATCGCTCGCGGTCTTCTTCCGTCTGATCGACGCGCTCGGCTGCGGGCAGAATCTTTTCTGCTGCGAGTACGCGAACGCAGTAGACCACGCCAGCAAGCATGTACGAGAAATTCTTTGCCGTACGCAAGCGGTTTGTCTGCGTGTCAATGCCCAGCACAGCCAGATACTGCACCAGACCACTCGAAAACTCATCGCTGCCATAGCCTGTGAGAATAAACGAAGCTAGCGAGTCAAGCAGCGCCTTTGTCTGAGCAGCTGCGTCGCGGTTACCCAGCGTAAGCCATAGCTGGATTGCTAGCGCCTTCTGATTGTCCTTCCACGTGAACAGCTCGCGCGCATCCTTCATCTTGTCAGCCTGTACAACGCGACGCGGTTGCCGCGGTAGCACAACACCGTCGTTGTCGTTGCTGTTGACGGTGCCTTCTATGTCGCTGTCGTCGTACTCGCTCTCTGTGCTAGCGTCCTCGTCGCTTGCACTGTCAACGCTAACGGCTTGAGCCCTCTGTGCTACGTGTTCATCTACTCGACGCTCTTCGTCGGCAACAATGCGGAGATAGAAGCAGACAAATCGGACCATGTAGCTAGTGTACGTTGCCTGACTCTCGGGGTTCTGCAGTCGCGCCAGCGGCCGTTGATCGATTTCTGTCTGCTGCGCACTACGAAGCCAGCGTCGTGTTTCCTGCGGAAGCGTTGCCAAGCCACGAACGGATCTTTCAATCAATTCTTCTGTCAGCGTAGCAGCCAGCTGCAGCTTTGCTTCGTTTCGGTCGGGCAAGCGGGCTTGATAGCCTAGATGGGCCAGATTCCGGCCCTGCAGAAACGACAACCACCCAGTTCTCTTGAACCAGCCAGTTTTGTCCGTCTTTGCAGCCTCGGCCATCACTTGCATGTCCTCTTCAAGCTGTCGTCGCACGTTCTGCCATCCGCTGAGTTGCTGTTGAACGACCTGATCTTGATCTAGTCTTTCTCCATTTTCTCCAACACCTAAATCAACCACAAAATAATTCTGCAACCCCCCACTACGGAAAAATGTCTGCACTTTTACAGACTTATATAACACGCTTTTATCACCCGTCCACGAAAGCTCGTGCAGTTTTCTACAGTGTGTCTTCATGTTGCCTTTGTCTATCGTGATAAAGCTGCACCTTCGACACTTAAGACCATCCAACGGCGTCCCAAGCTCTTGAATGGGGCATGCCGGCTGCTCTGGGGGCTCGA